CAATTCCTCATTGATATAATGGTGAAGGAAAATAATTACTTGACCAATAATTCTTGAATGACAACAAATTCAAATTTGGTAAGGTTTGATATTTTATAACATAAATATAGATAACAGAAATATATCTAGAGACATAAAATGAATATACTTTCAGTGTCCTAACTAAAGTGTAGATTACAATAAAAGAGCTAAATTGGTAATAGCGTAATTATAATGCATAGTCATTCTAATGTGTCAAAAACTTTAGTATGATGCAACTTCATGATCATTGGTTGATTTATTTATTTATTAAGTTCCAATCAATTTTCACATGATGGTTTACTGTCACATGATGCCTACTTCCATTTCTTAAACCCTCGGATTAATTACAAAAATCAATATAAAAAGATTTTCTAGTTAAGCTAAAAGAAATCCAAATATTAGTTTGCTCTAAGTGAACTATGTTAAGACTTTGGCAGTATAAGGGTACAACGGCAATTATTTTCACCTTCAAACATGTGACTTGGGAATAACAAAGTCCATTAAATATGGAATTAAACTATGATTACAGTTTGAAAATCAAATAAGTTTTCTAATAAATGGTGGTGAAATTATATTTATAATTAATAATTAGCATATCAAAATAAATATGTCTGAGTAGTTACCATTGGCCATGTGTTGGGTTCAATTCCATACCTTAGTTATTTTCTTTTTTTATTGCAACATCGTACAAAATTTTAGAGAAGCAAAAAGTCCTAGTCATTGAAACAGTGATGAACATGTATTTGTATATATTTCAAATGAATTGAGTTTGATTCCTGCATTTTCATACATATAACAAAAGCTAAAGATATTATATATAACAAACAACTAAAGATATAATATTATTATATTATAATGAAGAGAGCCTCATCACTCAGAAGTAAAGAGTAATGAACTCACAATTATGAATCTATATATATATATATATATATATAATAAAGACAGTAAAACCAATCGGAATGAATCATTAAATAATAAATGCTATAAAACCTTTCCTATTAAATGCATTAATGAAATAGTAATGGCATAAAACCAACCATATTTAATATGCACATTAAACGTATAAAATAATTATTACTCCATATATATGTAGTGAAAGAAAAGTAATATTTTATGTTTAATAGATAGAAATATCACCAAAGATTTAAATTCATGTATACTTACTATACTTTCGATTTTGTCAGATGGCTATTTTTTGAGATAAGGAAGAAGAATATATATATATATTTTTCAACAAAGAAAACAAATTCAACAATCTATCAAAATTAATATCATCAGAAAAAGATATATATAGTTAAAATAGAGAGAGAAAAAGAGAGCTTATTGTTCAAATTTCAATTGATTAACTAGTGCTAATAATGTGTTATAAAATTATACAAGAGAATAAAATACCGATATTATTTCAATTCATTCGGGGCATCAAAACAATACGTCCTTACCATTATTTATAGGCGAAAGTAGATTTGACTCTACTTGCCAACTTGTTCAATTGATATCATTCATAATGCATGCATAATGCAGTGTAACGACAATGGTTGCACAAAGTGAACGGAATGAGTGGTAGTAATAATGGTAATAGTGGTAGATGATAAGTAATGGTGGAGGTGGGTCACACACATATTATATATAACAGACGGAATGAGTGGTAATAAAAATGGTAGTAGCGGTGGATGATAGTCACACACATATTATATATAACAGACGGAATGAGTGGTAATAAAAATGGTAGGAGTGGTGGATGATAAGTAACGGTGGAGGTGGGTCACACACATTTTACATATAACAGAATTGATAGAAGAAAAAACAGTGAATATTCCGCTAAATTTAGCAACATTAGGGCAACTCCCAAGAGACTGCCATTTGGATTGCTAATTCAAAATATAACATGTGAATTAAAATTAAGCTCTTTAATGGACTGTTATATGAACTGTCAAAATTTACCTTTGTCATTTTTTGTGCCAAATATCTCTCTCTCTCTCTCTCTCTCTCTCTCTCTCTCTCTCGTTGCCGTGCCGTCTCTCACTGTGAGGGATTCAACTTTCAATTCCTCATTGATATAATGGTGAAGGAAAATAATTACTTGACCAATAATTCTTGAATGACAACAAATTCAAATTTGGTAAGGTTTGATATTTTATAACATAAATATAGATAACAGAAATATATCTAGAGACATAAAATGAATATACTTTCAGTGTCCTAACTAAAGTGTAGATTACAATAAAAGAGCTAAATTGGTAATAGCGTAATTATAATGCATAGTCATTCTAATGTGTCAAAAACTTTAGTATGATGCAACTTCATGATCATTGGTTGATTTATTTATTTATTAAGTTCCAATCAATTTTCACATGATGGTTTACTGTCACATGATGCCTACTTCCATTTCTTAAACCCTCGGATTAATTACAAAAATCAATATAAAAAGATTTTCTAGTTAAGCTAAAAGAAATCCAAATATTAGTTTGCTCTAAGTGAACTATGTTTAAGACTTTGGCAGTATAAGGGTACAAAGGCAATTATTTTCACCTTCAAACATGTGACTTGGGAATAACAAAGTCCATTAAATATGGAATTAAACTATGATTACAGTTTGAAAATCAAATAAGTTTTCTAATAAATGGTGGTGAAATTATATTTATAATTAATAATTAGCATATCAAAATAAATATGTCTGAGTAGTTACCATTGGCCATGTGTTGGGTTCAATTCCATACCTTAGTTATTTTCTTTTTTTATTGCAACATCGTACAAAATTTTAGAGAAGCAAAAAGTCTTAGTCATTGAAACAGTGATGAACATGTATTTGTATATATTTCAAATGAATTGAGTTTGATTCCTGCATTTTCATACATATAACAAAAGCTAAAGATATTATATATAACAAACAACTAAAGATATAATATTATTATATTATAATGAAGAGAGCCTCATCACTCAGAAGTAAAGAGTAATGAACTCACAATTATGAATCTATATATATATATATATATATATATATATAATAAAGACAGTAAAACCAATCGGAATGAATCATTAAATAATAAATGCTATAAAACCTTTCCTATTAAATGCATTAATGAAATAGTAATGGCATAAAACCAACCATATTTAATATGCACATTAAACGTATAAAATAATTATTACTCCATATATATGTAGTGAAAGAAAAGTAATATTTTATGTTTAATAGATAGAAATATCACCAAAGATTTAAATTCATGTATACTTACTATACTTTCGATTTTGTCAGATGGCTATTTTTTAAGATACGGAAGAAGAATATATATATATTTTTTTCAACAAAAAAAACAAATTCAACAATCTATCAAAATTAATATCATCAGAAAAAGATATATATAGTTAAAATAGAGAGAGAAAAAGAGAGCTTATTGTTCAAATTTCAATTGATTAACTAGTGCTAATAATGTGTTATAAAATTATACAAGAGAATAAAATACCGATATTATTTCAATTCATTCGGGGCATCAAAACAATACGTCCTTAGCATTATTTATAGGCGAAAGTAGATTTGCCTCTACTTGCCAACTTGTTCAATTGATATCATTCATAATGCATGCATAATGCAGTGTAACGACAATGGTTGCACAAAGTGAACGGAATGAGTGGTAGTAATAATGGTAATAGTGGTAGATGATAAGTAATGGTGGAGGTGGGTCACACACATATTATATATAACAGACGGAATGAGTGGTAATAAAAATGGTAGTAGCGGTGGATGATAGTCACACACATATTATATATAACAGACGGAATGAGTGGTAATAAAAATGGTAGGAGTGGTGGATGATAAGTAACGGTGGAGGTGGGTCACACACATTTTACATATAACAGAATTGATAGAAGAAAAAACAGTGAATATTCCGCTAAATTTAGCAACATTAGGGCAACTCCCAAGAGACTGCCATTTGGATTGCTAATTCAAAATATAACATGTGAATTAAAATTAAGCTCTTTAATGGACTATTATATGAACTGTCAAAATTTACCTTTGTCATTTTTTGTGCCAAATCTAACAAAAAAATATAGCAATAGCTATTTTCTATCTCTCTCAATCCTATCCATCTCTCTCTCTCTCTCTCTCTCTCTCTCTTTCCTTGCCTGGCCGTCTCTCTCTTGCTGGCCATTATCAACAGCGACAAACACCACCTCCTGCTTCTGCAGTCTGATTTTTGCATTTTCTCTTTCTCTCTCATCCTCATATATGTGTATGTGTATATATATATATATTTCTTCTCAGATCGGTAATTTTTTGGATTTTCTCCCGATTCTGTTGTCTGATTTCTGCACCATGGTAATTCTTTCTTCTTCTTTTTTTTTTTTTTAAATTATTTTTTTCAATATCATCTTGTTGAAAATGGGTCTCTCTGATTTTGAAAAAGATCATAAAAAATTTCACCAAATATGATTTAGTTTGCAAAACAAGAATTACAGACCTTGATTAGTTAATTTAGAAAAAAATTTAAAACAAAACCCATACGTACAAGTTAGCAGTTGTATAGAGAGAGGGGGACAAGCTTGAGAGTTGAGAGACAGCGGCTGAAGATTGCGAACGGCGAACTCGAATTGGAATAGCGTGCGATGGAAACTAAAAGATATGGGTTTTGAACTTCTGATTCTTGTGGATTTTATAGTTTGCAGTTGCATACAGAGACAGAGAGGGGGCAATTTCAGAGTTGAGAACGAGAATAGAGATGGAGGCGATTGGGGAGGCTGAAATGATTTGCCCTAAAAATATATATATTTTTAATAATAATATAATCAAATAAATATAATATACACACACACACACACATATATATATATATATATATATATATATATTTTTGGTCCTTTTTTAACTAGATATTTTAAATTTTTGCTTCTTTTTAATTAAGTTTAATTTTAGTTTCCTTTTAACGTCTACAACTTGATTTGGAATGTGCCTAATATTAATATTATTGATACAAATATGAATTGTGGGAATGGTAGTTGAAAAAGAAGGGTGATTGTATCAAAAAATAGTATTTTGTATGAAATGCACTATTGGAACAGAATTGCTAAAATATAACATTTTGACATTGTAGCACCTGTCAAAATATAAATTTGATATTTCTAAAATAATTTTTAACATTGGGGACCTTAGAATAAAGTCAAAATACAAACCACCAAGTAACCAAAACAAAAAAACCACGTAAAAAACAACAAACAAGGTACAAAAAAATTGAACCATGGCACGGAAAAAAAAAAATAATAATTGAGGAGCCCATCAAATGTTTGCCTTCATAAGCTCCTCTACCAATTCTCCCATGCGAACAAATGATGAACCATTTTCCATCACAACCTTCCTGCTTTTCTCATTTATTTCCTTAACCTTTCTCCTCAACTCACCATCACCGTCCATTAAACCTTTCACTCCCCTCTCCACCTCCTCCGCCAAAACCAAATCACCACCGTCCATGTAAGCCGGTGATCTCATCTCCACCGCCAATCCCAGCTCCCTCACCAGCTCCAATGCTATCATCTTTTGTTCTCCAAAAACCGGCCACGTGGCAACCGGTACGCCGTACCACAAGCTCTCCATAAACGAGTTCCACCCACAGTGAGACACCAACCCTCCGATTGCCTTGTGGGCCAGGATTGTCGCATGCGGGACCCACCCACAAATCAAACCCACCTCAGCAGTTCTTTCCAAAAACCCATTCGGCAACACCTCGTCTGGATCAGTGTAGTCGCGTGACTCGAAAGCCTCCGGTCGGCGCAGTGACAACAAAAACCGTTGCCCGGTTCGCTCAAGACCAGTTGCTATCTCTCTCACTTGGGCCCCACTTATACTGGCCAAGCTTCCAAAACAGAAGAAAACCACAGATGATTGGGGGTGATGATCAAGCCACTTCAAAACCTTGTCTTGGTGGGATTGGTCTGAATCCGGTCGGTTCAACCCACAGGTGTCAACCAACGGTCCGACCGGATAAACCGGTGGTATGTCGTGGGTACCCAAAAACGAGTTAAGAGCAAACGGTTCGAGTTCTTGAAACGTATTTAAAATAATACCCTTTGTCTCCTTGTACCTCCGACCATGATAGAGGTACCAAGAGTACCCATCTTGAGTTCTGCTCAATAGAACAGAGGGTAGGACGAGTGGGTGAACTGAGTTGGCAAAAGTCGGCACCTCCAACATAGTGCCGGACTCGTGAAACTCGGTGGTGATTTGTTGGTCAAGGGTCGGGAGGTGGAGCATCAAACCGAGGAAAGCGGCCGGCGATGGGAAGAAGAGGTAGCAAGGGATGCCGAGCTCGTTAGCCACGTCGATCATCGTCATACAGTACGTGTCAATGATGAGTATGACCGAGTCGGACTCGGACCGAGTCGACATGAGGTTGGTGATTGCATGCTTTACGTGGGGTTTGAGTTTTTGTATGAACAGTGACATGAAGCCTATCGGTGTTTGGAAAAGGTCAGGTGAAGGTGGTTCCACCATGGGGAGGTCCACAAAACGTAAACTCGCGGAGGAGGTGGCTCGTGATTGAGCGTAGGCGGTGACGAGTGAGTCGCCGGGGACTTGAATGCTGAGTATGGTGGCGGAGAATCTACGGTCATGATCAACGATCCGCTGTGCGAACTGGACGATTGGCACGAGGTGACCCATCCCAAGTCCAGGGAGGAGCACTAGCTCTACTTTTCTGTTCGAGTCGGACGTCATTAATTATCAACTTTTTTGTTGTTTCTTCTTCTTGGGATCTCACTGCTAGGGCTAGCTAATGAACTTGCGCGCCCTTTTTTTTTTTTTCTTTCTACATTTAAACCGTTTCTGAAGTATGTGTATTTATATGGAGTGTGTGCATGTGAGCACGTAGTGACAAATTAATGTGCTCACCGACCATGCAAAGGGAAAATCAATGTGTAATTAATGTGCAACTTGTTAGTGTTGTATATATGTATTAGCCGTGGCCTATGTTGGAATATATGAAAATATATAAAAACTGTATATATGTATGGAATGAATTACAATGTAGTCTTGTATATATGAGAAGAATGGGGTAGGTGATCAAAGTGAGTGGTGTACAAGTTAGTTACTCATTAATGTCACACACAAAACCCTAATGAAACCCTAATGGTTAAGTAAACGGATATTACAATTAATACACAAGTAATCTGACACAATCACATACAAATTATAAGCATTATTTAAATTCGGATGTTTTTGAATTAATGGTCAAACTTCTCTATATATTTTGGTTAATAGTGTCTTATCTCTGTGTCTTATCTCTCTTTAAAAAAAAGAAATGTTGTCACAATTGTCAGATTAATGTATACTATATCATATGAAATGAAAACTTTAGTTCTTTTTATAATTATAAAAAAGAAAAAATTTATTTTTAATTAAATTTTAATATAGTTATCGGTTTTAATTAAATATATAATAAAAAAATTAAATTAAAAATACTTATTCATTATATATAAACAATATACATATATTTAATTTTTTAAACTTTAGAATTTGCAATAAATTTTCACAAATATATATATAATTCTTTACATACCAACAAATGGGTATTCAATCTTTATTGAAAAAAAATCAAACAAAGGAGTGTTCAATCACCTACCATCATTATACTATTCAAATCGAGATTAAATCTAACCGTTAAGATTCAAAGATTCAAAACAATAATAGTTTATAAAGTGCAGAAAATACCTTTATAATATGCTTATAGTGTGCATCACATCTCTAATGTACTAAATAACCATTTTCGTTATTTCATAAAATGATATTTTTAAATAATATGTAAAATGTGTATATAAGGGCAATTTAGTTCAACTATAACTTAAATGTGTCTGATTTATTTTAACCAAATTAAAACTTTAAAAGTGTTTTTTTTTTTTTTTCTCCACATAAAGATGTGCTAAGCACCGTAAACATACTATAGAGACGTTTTCTGCACTTGACACATGCGCGCGGAGGGAGAGAGAGAGAGAGAGAGTCTCTACCCCCAGGCCAGTCTTAATTATTTGGTCGAGTCATATCATCTGGGTGGTTTTTTGGGTGGGTGGTTGTTTAGGCAATCTAAGATTTTTATACTTTCAGTCCACAAGAAACCAATAAATAACTCTCAATGAACCACGTTATCTTCCTTTGGTCCTCCAACAACCTCAACGCGGTGCTTTGGTTGCAAATTTGCAATGCCATAAAATCTCCATCGGACTCAGATACCCAAAGTCATGGTAGGCTACTTTTTTTTTTGTTACTTGACACATTTTTGAATTTTGATTAATTTGGACCAACTAGGAGGTCATTCATATGTAACTAGAAAGTGGTTAAAACTTTTCATCAACTCCTAAATTTTTTACACTTTTGTACCATTTCTGTTGAACTCCTACTTTTTATTTATTTATTTTTTACTCATTCCTCACTTTTTTTTTTTTTTTTTTTTTTTTTCCTCCTCTCCCTGTTACAGTCTCTTTATCTGCAGTAAATTCTGTCCCTCTCACTATCTTTTAAATTTTTTTTAATTTACTTTTATTCTCTCGTATCTTTTGGTATTTTAGACCTTGTTTTTATTATTATTTCAAATATTTAAATATTTTTGATCTTTTCTATATTAGTAATTTTCATCTCAAAAAAAGTAAGAATAAAATATATTAAATATTAAAAAGTCATCAACAGGCCAGTGGCCTAGCGGTTCTCTTACTTCTCAAAGGAAGGTCAAGATTCAAGTCTCAGAAAAGACAAGTGTGTGTGAGTACCAATTAAGAAAAAAAAAAATTATATTAAAAAGTCACAAAAAGTCACATTTTTATTTTTCATCTCAGACCTTAAATTATACTAAGCCGGTACTTATACGTGGTTACATCCCACGCATGAGTTATAAAAAGAAATTCTTGGCAAATGCCAAAGACAAGTATGGCTAATGTCCAAACACTTCCCATAACAGCGTTCATATTCTTATGAGATTGTTTGAAGCTTTCTCTCGTTTGATAAAACGATGTTAAGATTATACTGTAAATAGATGAATGAAATGGATTATGATGTCCACCCAAGCATGAATAGAAAACGAAACTATGTAGGAAAGCAAGAAACTCACACATGTACTTTTTATTTACACGAGAACTTGAATTATCAACTTTCTATAACTTTAGATGGTATAAAAGTATCATTATAATACAAATTTTAGTTACAGGATATTTTAATTGAATATTCAAACTAACATATGAACTATGTTCTTTAATAAATGAATGTGCATTATAAAGGGAAAAATAAATACTCATCAAGTTGACATTATTGGCCCCCATAAGCCACACTGAACAATTGAAAAAGATAAGCATGATTGGTCCTGAAGAAGTCATTATAATCCGAATATTCAAGTAATTTACTCAATAAATTGACATTCTAAGCTTATTTATTTATTATTTTATTTTTTTACAAAGATTCTTATATTAAAGATAATAGAAAAAAATGATTCTTATATTAATGTTATAAAAATTTCTTTTACATCCTATAGAAATAATCCATTCCCTCTCAAAGTTTTCAGAAATACAGTGCATGCAGTTCTATAAGAGTTGATAGGAAAATCTAGACAAAAGACCCATTTAGCCTTGTAACAACACCTCCTGTTGAAGGTGATCAAGCTGCAGTTGTACTTCTCTTGTCAAGGTTTTAGTCGATCAGAAGAACTTAACTCGCTTGGAAAGGGAAAAACAAAAATAGGGAGAGACTGAAAGATCATGTCCATGATTTCCAAGCCTTGCTCATCTTATTTGCAAAATATCTAACTCCACGAACAGCACCAACAGTCAGTAGTCCAGAGACAGCCTGCCTTGCACTTGAAATCATAACCCTATGTCTCATAACTTTCTGCATGCATTCAGCGACCTCTTCCCTTGAATTAATCACAACTTCCCGTATAACTTGACCTGCAAAGAAAATGTGATGTTAATGCAATCATCTGCTCTCAGTAGAGCTAGCAGGAAGCAATGAACGGCCTAAATCCGAACAAAATTGTTGCATCAGTTACCCATATGGAATTCTGCAAATGAATTCAAAGTAACATTTTTTCCCCCATAAAGAGGATTTGAAGCATATGGGAGGTTAGAACTCTTAAATCAGGGAATATTTGGGTTTCATTTTCCTGTCAATCTACATCATCAGAGTTGAAGTTCATACCAGATTTACCAACTTTTTTCTCTTCTCCTAGTCTCATCATCATTTGGCTTCTGATCGTCGCAGGAAGAATAGAAACAAGGGAGGAAACTGCAGATAAACTAGAGTCCTGGTGTGGACAAAGTGAAACATATCAGACAAAAGTACAATAATGAATATTTCATGCCAGCTACACTGCTTTTATATGATCCTAGTAGATAAAAGGAAGGTAGAGAGTATCATGTTTCAACACTGAAATTACAAATATATTCATGGCCTGACTAGAGCCCCCGAATAAAAATGATTGTTTGAATAATTAATAAGGAAATATTGGACCCTTTCATAACAATAGAAAAGAAAGATACAAGTTTAAAGCTGCTCCGGGAATTGAGAACTCAAGGATTTGAATGGACCTGAGATATATTTACTTGGTGACCACCAGATGATGAAAATCTCAAGAAGTCATTGGTTGCGTGTTCTTCTAGATAAGGCCTATACATTGTTTGGAATAAACCAAACTGCCCTTGCACAATCTTCTTCACCTGACAGGTAATGTAAATGTCAACAAAAAATACCAGAGAACAGAAGAATAGATCATGTGAATTTCATGTTTTTCACCTCTAAGGTCAAGGAAATGCGATACGGGATGTTAGGTGCCAATAATATCTCCAAAACAAGGATAAAAATGAGCAGTTATGTAAAATAACCTGTAACCACATCGAGGAAAAATCTAAATTTCAGAACTTCCTATTACAATAGCTAAATTATTCCTAATTTAGCTAAACCATACTCTTATCATATCATTCATTGCTGTCTCAACTTATATTAATTTTGATCTTCCCTTCCCCCAACATCACTCTCAGCGTGGATCTCTTTATGTTTCCTCACTGAACAGTTATTGCTTTTCTCAACTGCAGTAATCTTCTACTAATTGTTTTACCAAGTAAATGAACTCCATAGGAGTAGATCTTTCAGTCAGAATTTGAAATTAGTTACGGGGCACCGTGGAAACCTTGATCTTTTTGTATTATCATTTCTCATAGTTTCATTGTATGACCCATTTAAGTTCTCGGTAATTGCCACAATTTTCTTTTATTTTTATAAATTAGTACTATATTGCTTTTCTTCACTCACTTGGCATGTCATAAGGTCTAAGTGCCATTTCATGGAATTTGCCTTTTAATCTAAACGTATACATTGAACATACAATACGTTCGAAGCACTTTTCAGTTAAACCATCTTGCTTTGGTTTATAAGCAAAATTATCTCCAATCACTCCCTCTCTTCTAATAACCAAGAATAGATAACAAAATTGTTTAAGTTTTGCTATATCTCTTGACTCTTTATTTCACTACTTTCTTAATTGCATCCAAACTTTACTATAGTTATATTCATACATTCAGTTATAGAGCTACTTATTTTAAACCTTCTAATTCTACATCATCTCTCCGAACAATTAATTTAACATTATCCATTCTTTAGTTTTATTAATCAGAAAAATATTATCAATAAGCAGCATAAACCACGAACCTCATCCTTTATGTTTTTGGTTAATTCATACATAATCAACACAAAAAGACATAGGCTTAACATTAATCCTTGATATAAGTTTACAATAAATGAAAATTCACTTGTTTCTCTTGCAGTTATTCTAATTATAGTTGCAACTCCATCCTACACATCCTTTATCATTTCAATATATCTATTTATAATGACATCCACTAGTTATACGGATAATAGCAGAAGGCACAAAGCGCGCTAACACAATCAAAAGCTACAAGTGACTTCTCTCCTAAGATCTAAGTAAGTTGTAATCAACCATACCTTATTTTTATCTTCAGCAAAAAGCATACGCAGATCACCCATATATGAGAGGCTACATATTTTGGCATAGATGTCTTCCTGGAAGAGCAACAAATTATTTTACAAATAAATAATTATTCTGTAATACTAAATAATTTAAGTGAAAAGAAACAAACCTCATTGAATTTAGATGGCAAAAGAAGGAGAGCAGCAGATGTTGCAGCTCTCAAATTAACAGAGTTTACATTTGAAATATCCAGATTATCCTTTAGTATATGAACCTAAAAGAAAGAAAAAAAGAAAAAAAGCAGTTGAGACTTCTCTAGTCAGATACGCACAAAATGCATAAGATAATGATCACATCCAGTGGATGATGGATCATTATTAACAGCAAACAGTTCAGAGAATGTTAAAGATAATGACACATGGAATTTGTGTGTGAACCAAACGCATCAAAGAAAATCATAAACAGAATCTAGAGTCTCTCTCAGCTTATTTGATCACACAAAAGAAAGAAACCAGCCTAAATCAATATGCTTGAATTTTTTAAGAATGATAAGATGTAAGAAATATCTTGACAAAACCGTCACTACAGCTTCTCTCACTCAAAACTAATCAATCACGTCGGAAACCCAGGAGTTTTTTTTTTTTTTCCTTGAGCTAGCACATTTTATCAGTCTTGGAAGTGAGCCTGATGAAAACACATGACAGAAGCCTGTTAATTGCTAGACTATGATAAAAAGCATATAGTCTTGATTTGGACTATAACATTGAAGCTAATCTAATAAACATCCATATATATTAATCAAGTATTCACAGTTTAACCTAAGATATGCAATTATGTATTTTCTAAGCTGTGTTTGATGAAATACAACTCGGTAGACATATGCATTGAAATTAAAATGATAATTTTTACATCTATTAATTGCAAAAGAGAGGGAAAAAAAGGGTATCTACGTGAATATAAGAATATATAACGCTAATACTAATACCCTTATCATATCATTCGGAGAAATTTACAGTGTTCGGAAACTAGTTGAGTATGCTTGACTTATTGACGTGATCTTTCAGGGGCTTTAAAAATGAGGGCTCACTTAAAATAAGAATTAGATCTAAGGTGGGGGAGGTAAGGTCGAATTAGTTTTTTTTTTGTGATGACATCACTCTAAAGCTTAGGTATCTGGGAGATGTTGAATGAAACTTACTGAAAGAAAATAAGCTGTCATCATTCTAAAACTTAGGTATCTGGGAGGTGTAGAATGTGAACTTCATGAAAGAAACAAAGCTGCCTAAAATCGTAACAATGGCCTGGGTTTATGATTGAGAAGATAAGACTAACTTCTGTGGATGGAATAAGGTTTCAATTAGTCGGATTGAAAACTAATTTTGGTTTTGAGAATCAAAAGAAAAGTAAAAAAAATTATACCACGGGAAAACAAATGTTTTTGTGCTAGAATGGTGGAGCAACTAGGATTAGAGTTTTATGATCAATGGGTTAGGTTTTAAGTATAAAATAAGGGCTACTGAACAACTGTTGTGGACCTTGTAATTATTCAAAAGAATCAAAACACTAGTATTGGAATCAAAAGTTGAGACAGAGAAGAGGAATTGTAGATGAATTATCTAAGCTATTGATTCAAGTCAGATAAGAATGATAAGTTTTGAGTGAGAGAAGCTGTAGTGAAGGTTTTGTCAAGATATTTCTTACATCTTATCATTCTTATAATGTCATACACATAATGAGCTCATGAATTTCTTTATTCTTTATCTATATTTCAACTAGTCTACTCCTTTAATGCATTTCCCATACACCAAAAAAGGCTTCTAATAAATGGTTGACAACAGGAAGGGAAGGAGGGATGTGCAGGCACAATCATGATTAGTCCAAATCATTAGATGAAAGGATTTCTGATTTTCTTTCACATCAAAAAATAATTCACAACTCACAATGAACTTGCAGTATGATCATGTGAAGACAGAGAATTAAGTATTCAAGGTGAGAACTAATACATCATGCTATGATTTCAAACTGCACTCTAAAAGGGTTTAACAAAACACATTTCTTTTCTATCATTTTCCTAAGAAATAAAGTCAAGATAAGTCCAAAGAATAAAAGGAAGAAAGAAAATGATAAGATAACACTCATAGAGAAGACATACAGGTTTTTGTAATCGACCACTAAAATAGAACATCTCCCAATTGAGTATGTCCCGTATCAGATCATCAATTCGAACAACCCCGTACTTGAACATCTGCCAAAAATTGCTCAAGGGTGAGCGATTTTAAGGAGACAACTTGAAACACATTTGATACCAAGATATATAACAGCTAACGAAATTACTAATGTACAATAGGTTATATGAGGTTGCACACCAGATATTGAAGTCATTGAATGTTTAATACCTTGTCATTCCAAGTAACAAATGGGTTGAAGTGTACTCCAACACCAATTTCATCTGCAACGCCAGTAATCTAACACAACCAACCAAATGTAGAATCTTAGAATAAAAAAGAAAATATAGAATCCTAGAATAAAAAAGAACCGATTTGAGAGAGAGAGAGAGAGCAGCAGCAGCAGCACCAGCCTTGCCCCGCCAAGGTGCACCATCCAGGAGGCATAGTGATCTCGATTCATTTTCAGATTCTTGGCAGCGATAAAAATAATAAATAAATTAGAATCTACAGATCTTCTTCTCTCTTCAATGACGGAAATAAGAATTTTTACTTTTAAACAAAGTTCTGCAATCCGAAACTTACCTCAACATGCCATTGCAGAGGATCTGCTACACCTAGAATGTAATCTATCATTGATGACTGGAAAACCAAAAGCCACGGAGGTGAAATTTCACATAGTTAAAACATAAGAATTTTTTTTTTTTCCTACTTGGAAAGTAAGGGCTTGATACCGCTAGGCCACCGACCCATTGTTAAACATAAGAATATTAAAATAAAGTGAAAAGAAAAGTAAAAAGAAACAAAAATAGAAGATAAGGTCTTTTCTTCTTCTTCTTTTATTTTTTATTGTTTATGGTAAGTAGAAGATAAATTCAATCATGCAGAAAAAAATAAAACCTTGTCATGATTATTTGGATGGAGGGCTGAGCCGTAGACACAACAAAATTCTACAGGGGGGAGAATTTTCAGCAAACTTGCTAGCCCAACTTCATTTTTGCCATCCATTGCCACACTCTGTGATTGCATGAAAGTGGTCATATCATAAGCATAAAATTATTTGTTGCATGACAAGGGTTTACTCTAAACCCAGATTCTTGAAACATAAACAAATACCAAATTCTAGTAACTCCTTAAAATAAGGACCATCAAAACATATCCAACATTCTTCGCCCATCAATAAACTGAATGACAATAATAAATATTTTTGTGTACTAATGATTTTCTAATTGACAAACATCATTAAAAATAGCAATGATCAAACCAAGTGAGCGGTCACTGCATGAATTCAACATCTTTTTGAAAGGCAAACTGCCCAAACAGACTTCCTGACCAGCATAACACTCCAACTAAAGCAAGCATTTATATGACTATATAAATGTGTCCATTAAAAATTGATATGGATCTTTCTTTTGGTTGGAGTTGGCTGCAACGGTGGAAGATATGTGTGATAGGTGGAAAAAAGTTCCAGATAATGAAGATGTAAGGCCTTCGCAGCAACATTATGCTAGAGTATTTGGAAGAGAAGAAATGATTGGAACTTTAATCGGAAGCAATGGAATCCAGAAATGCTTGTGCAAAGAGTCGTATTGCATTTAACTGAATATTTTGATGCACAACTCTTGTTACAAAAGGGACTTCAAATTTGTGTGACTAATCAATGACCTGCAGCTCGTTGGAAACCACCTCCATGGATTATGCTGAAATTAGATGTTGATTTAGCGTTTAGTTGCTGTCATGGTGAGGCTGATGGTGGAATTTTCCTTCATGATCATGCGGGTAAGGTGTTAAAAGCTGCTGGTTTCTTCATTCCACATGTGTTGGATGTGTTTGCTGCAGAATCTTTGACACTCCGCGAGGGGTTAAGAATGGTGGTGGAGTGGGGTACGTGCGTCAACTGTGCTTGTTGAAGGAGATTGCAAAGGGTGTTATAGAGCTAACCCATCAACATAAAGCAGCAGCAGTTATTATTGATGATATTAGAAGATTATTGCAGATATACGGTAGCCTCTCAGTTAGAGGATACCAAGGGGATACAAAGAATGTGTTGGAGAGGAATTCTTTTTTTTTTTTTTTTTTTTTTTTTCATTGTAATTTTCTTTCTTGGTTGCTAAAAGCTGCCTCTACAGATTGTAATTATTTTTCATATTAATAAATTTTCAATTGCCAGGAAAAAAAAAAAAAAAAAAAAAAAAAAAAAAAAAGAGACTAAAGCAAGCATAAGTTTAAACAATATACATGGACAACATGGTCATATTCAACAACATTAAAGCTTAAAGAAAACAAGAAAACAAGAAACAAGAAAAAAGAAAGAGTAAATAACAAAGAAATGGGTAGCAACATACCTCATAAATAGAATTTGCGAAAAAGAAAAAAAAAACTATCCCATTTTCAGTTTGATCACTTACATGTCACTTACATGTTCATGTAAATATATGTAATATGCATAAACATGGGAAAGAAGAGCTGAGAGTGAGTTAAGCTCGGTGAGGGAAATTTTATCAAACAGTTGGGCTGCATTATAGAGAGTATAATAGTCAGCATTTGTTTGATCAGGGTAACCAACTTTTGAATTTAAAACGTTTTGCTTTGCAAAACCCAGTGGAGGGAATCTACCTGAAATTTGAAGGTTGTGAGTAAATCGAAAGAGGGTCCGAACTTATTGGAGCTTTGGCTGGGTTGAATGCAGTTTGCGTTGCAAACTCGCAGTAGAACAATAGAAATTTAAATGGAGGCGTCCACCCCACTCTATAGTACGAGAAATTATCGGCTGTAACCGTAATACCACGTCACTCCGCTGACATGGTATAATTACCAATGAGAACTTGCCATTTGATTAAAGAAAACGTCGTATTTCTCAGCCGTCAGCACTACTTTTTATGACATTAAGGTCACCCTTTTTATTAGGTTAATTAATTTCTTTTTTTAAAGTGAGGGAAAATTTTATTAGTTATTAAGAGAAAGATATTTAATAAATGAGTGATGATTGAAAACCTGAATAAGAAGCCCCAATAAACACCTAACAGTAGTAGATGTAAACCCGAATAAGAAGCCCCAATAAACACCTAACAGTAGTAGATGTCTCGATAATTCAGTGGTTAATATCTTCGGTAAATTTTAAGAGTGTCAGGTTTCGACTCTTTACACTTATTAATCTAAGATCGTCTTGGTCGGGTCATTTACACAACTAACTTTTCAAAAAAATAAATTAGCCAATAAACATAAAGATAAATTTATCTTTAATATTTAGCCTTATTTTTATTTCATACCAATTACATTCTCTCTCTACCAGATTACGATTCAGAAATTTTCTTCACTTTTTCTCTTCCAAAATTTAGTCATATATATCTCTCTCAAATTCTCATCATTTTCTCTCTCAAAGATTTGAATTTGAAATTACCTCAGAAATTCTATTTTCACTTTTTCTCTCTCTAAAAATGTATGCATATGTCTCTCTCTCAAATTTTATTCAGTTTCTCTCTAAAATTTGTGTCTAAATTATCTTCTCTAAAATTCTTTTTAACTATTTTCTGCCTAAAAATTTACCAATCTCTCTCTCAAATTCTCTTTGCCTTCTCTCTTTAAGATTTGGATTTGACTTTCTATTTCATTTCCATGTATTTGTTTTCCCCACCATTTTTTTGTTTTCCATCTCACATCCACCCCTAAAAACTTTCAAATTTGTCTCCATGACTTTACCAGGGCGTTCTCTTGTATCCTCTTTCTTATATAAACCTTAATATCCAAACTTTATTAGAATGGGTCTATTGGTGATTGGTGATTGGTGACTTGTTAACTTGATAAGAAATAAGACAATAAAAAAAGAATAAGTAGTTGACGAATTTATGAACGAAAATGGTGGCCTGTATGGAAGATCGAGGAGAGAGAAAAACTAAAGAGTCTGGAAAAAGGGCAAGTATAAAATTTAGAGAAAGATGAGTCACAATCTAAGTCACACAATCTTTTTAAATGGGTGTCGCTCTCACGCTCGCACTTCCGCTCTCGCTCAAATTCTTACTATTTATAACTTAATTTTGTCACTCTCACGCTCCCGCTCTAGAATTCGCTCTCACTTCCATTTCGCTTTATGTGACTTAGGTCACAATTAAAGTGAGAAAAGAAAATAAGAATATATATGACGTGGCAAAGACATATCAGGTTTCGATGCTAATTCGGGAATTAGTCTTATGTTACTCTATCATTATTATTAATGAATATCAAAATAATTTCAGATCACAATAGTAGACTTGGTATCAATTGGACCTACTTTAAAAAATTAATTATTTTTCTTTTGATGGCTTTCCAAAGCCTTTTTTGGAAGAATTAAAAAAAAGCCTTTTTTGGTTGATGTATCTTGTTCGGTTTCTTTTAACTCTTGTTTCTTGTGTTTTTTTATAAATATAAATAAAGAGTAGATTCTTTTTCTTTTTCTTTTTTTTCCTAGGTAAATAAAGAGTAGATTCAACCAAGTCCTGCAATGGAAAAAATAAAACAAAATGGATATGTATTTCAATCTTTTGTTAGTTCTATACTACTCATTTTTAAAATATTTTTGAAATAGATATCACAAAAAAGAAAACCAATTGGCTAGGAGAGGGAAGGTTGAATAAAGTCAGTTCTGGTAGATGTTTCTAATAAGAATTTTAGAATCTGATTGAATCTAAGATAGGAATAGTTAGTTTATGTTATTATTTAAGGATATCCAAATATGTAATTAGATGTTTAAAGAAGGATGTGTATTTGTGGTAGTAATTCACAAACTCTATGTATATTAGCATTTATCTTTCTCTCCTTGTAGAGGTTTTATGTTCAGAGTAGGAGATTTGGGTGTTCGTCCGAGTCTTCGTTTTCTTCATAATTGTGATCTTTCGATACACGTACCCATTTATTTTTATGAGGACTTAAACTCTCAAACTTCGACTTACATTCGATTGGAATATTAGATATTGAGCTAAATGTTAGGGCATGTATATACACGTAAATTATAAAACACTAAGAATATAATAAATCAAATTTATTCATACTTGAGTCTTAATAACATGAATACGATAATAATAAGAAATCATAATACTTTCATTAAAGTGAATAATATATCAATTTGAATAACATAGATATAATAATAAGTTTGGAATTTCAACAACACACGTAACTCAAGAATATAATATTAACTCAATTATATAAATTAAGAAAAATGATAATAATAAACTAAAGAGAAAGAACTGGTCTGGATAATAAGAAGCATGCAAGAACTATTCTAGAGTCGTATGGCTTTCCAATGTGCAGGTGATAACGGTTCAATACGACTCTAAGTTACAACCCATATCCGCCAGTGATCTTTTTCAAGTATGTCCGAAAAGAGACAAGTTTGGATTAGTCTTCAAAGTTGCCACAAACACAATGTAAAACTCATATCTATACGAAAGTTGAGAAGAGAGAGAGAACTCAAAGAATAAAGATTTTCTATGATAGACTCGCATCGTCACACTGCTCAAGTCTCTCATGTGTCATCCCCAAAGAATGGTATATGACCTTTTTTTAAGCCAAAGTGCGAAAAACCCCTCTAAAGTTTCACAAAGTGAGCAAAATACCCCCTGTGCTATAAAAGTGAGTTAGTCAATATATGTAGTTTCAAAAGTAAACAACTTACCTTCTGAATTTGATTGCCAATTGTTTTATGGTGAATATCATTGCAAAACTACCATTAGTTAGACTTATATTTTTCGCGTTGAGTTTCTCAATAAATAAAATACACACACACTCTTTCTCTCCCTATATATATATATATATATATATATATATATATGTATATATTATATGTGTGTGTGTGAATGTCCCTACTCCAATCTCAAGTTTTCCCCGAAAGGTATGCCTTTCAGCATTGGTTTACCATACATGGGAAGAGAGGAATGAAAGGATCTTCAAGGGCAAAAAATCCTCTACAAGAGTGACTTCATACAGAATTTGCTCCACCATCAAAGCTCTTCTAAAGCTAGGCTTCCTCTGCGATTGTTCAAGCTCTAGAAAGATTCTCTGTGAGTGGAATTTGTCGCCCTCTTGTTGCCGTCCGTCTCCCCGTCCTCCAGATTGAGCATTTTCGAGTTGCGGGCTTGTAATTCCTCCTCCTTGTTTCACTGGAAAGGGTGCACTGATAACCACCATTAACGGTTTTCTAATCTGTTAATTTTGGCACTTAGTAGCTGATTAAGTTGGGATAGGTTAGGCTGCTTTGTTGTTTGGTTTGGGCTTGCCAGTTTGGGCTTTGTTTCCCATTAATTTGGGTTGGTTTTTGGCCTAAGGCCTTCTTGTAATTACCTTTTATATATATTCAGTTGCTTAATTTTCCAAAAAAAAAAAAAAAAAAAATCTCAAGTTTTCCTGGTTGAAGGAACAGTGAATTGAAGTGATTCATGAACCTCAAAAATAGTAAAAATTGCATAATTGAATAAAAAACATTACATTAATTCAATTACAACGAGTAGGTCCCTCAAATTCAAGTATTAACCTTCCAAATAAATCCTTGTTCTTTGTATGCATGTAAAGAAAAAAAGAAGACGACAATCACATAGAAGAGAACCAATTATATTCAAGCAACTAAACCAAAATTTGAATTCTACAGGGAAATAGATAAAGAAATAAACTTAATTATTCAATTGAACAGTACAACATCAAATAATTATATAACTATGTTTTTGGACCCATTTTGAAGTAAATGGATGTAATTTTAGCTATATTTTTGGGTTTGTTGTTGTTCTGAAATTGGAGAGAGAAAATGGTGCTTTGAAGATTATGGGATGCAAAAGATGGAGAACAAATGAACGGTGGTAGAGAGCTTAATGAATGAATTGGTAATATATTAATGAATGAGTTGCTCAACTGAATGGAAGGAACTTTAAGTTAAAGGAGTAAAACAGTCACATTGAAATGGAATATTGGCATTACATAAAAAGTACCCGCAAGTGATGCAAAAGTTATCTGAAAAGTCTCTGTCAGGATGCTCACTTTTGAAATTACAGGTAGTACTTGCTCACTTTTACAGTATAAGGGGTACTTTACTCACTTTGTAAAATCTCAAGGAATTTTTTTTTTTTTTTTTTTCACTCTTTCCCTTTTTATAACACTAAAATTTGTAATTCTTTTATATCATCAATACAAAATTTATAATAAAACAATAATAATAATTTAATATTATTTATGATTTTTATTAAATAATAGTAACACTAAACATGATAGGGAGTTAATCACTAAAGTAATTATAAAACCAATAATTGTTGCTCCCAGCTTTCACCAATTCTCCAGAGTCAAGGTCTCATATTGGAGGCAGCAAGGATGATTGAATGGAGGAGGATTATTGGCAAGGTAGCCAGGGTACACTCTTAGTAAGTTATGCGACTTGTGTATTTGACAGTGAACTGACCGTCTTGAACACAAAATTTAAGTATACGACTGAAGTCTTCCCCCAAACTAATTGATTTTAGGAGATTTGATGAAAATTAGGACAAACCATAATTATCAAATTTTATTTTTTCATAGGGTGAAGTTTGAATATATGTGAAAAATGGAGGGATAATGATCAACATTCAATAAACAAGATTTATCACCAGAGTGATGTGCCTAATTGGATTTCAATTACCTCAAGGTAGAGGACCTTATCATGTAATTTAATTTGAAAAAGGCATTCCTATGTTATGGAATAAAATATTTTGTCTAGGAGTCTTGGTGAACTTAGTAAGAGCATCCGACAAACACATGTTGATTGAAAAAAAATCTTTTTTCTTAATATCATGATTCATGAAGACAGAATAGAAAAATACACGAGTGGAGTGTGAAACTCATTCTATCATATCA